CGCTGCAGAAGTAGAGGTATGGTCGGGGCGGAACAACAAACCTGAGAAATGCGTGCACATTATTAAGCATATGACAACCAAATAAAAATATAAACACACAAGAACCAACCTAGTAAATTTTTGCTATTCCAAGCTTGTTTTCTTAATGGTCTCAGTTAACGTACTACAGAAGCATTAACTTTGAACAGCTCTCTTCTCGTGGCCAGTAGACAAACCAGATGCCTCTTCCAAACCAATGTTCTTCACTCTCTCCTGATCAATTCTAGGACTTCATCTATTATCTGTTCAATCTCCTAGATTGATTTTAATCAAGTCAGTCTATAGTCTTGAAATTGTATCTCTGACATTTTTCAGGAATTTCTTCTTTTCTGCTCTTCTACATGGTACCTGACCTACTCCAGCAGAACTAAAATTATTTTAAAAAGATTATACTGTCTCAGAATACCAGCTTTTTAAAAAAAAAAAAATCCAACATGCTAATTTAGTCTTTATTGATTCTAAACAGCACCCGTGCTGCACTAGTACAGTACCAGATAGCACTGTATATATAGCTGTGTGTATACATGGTATGTCACACACACATGCAGAAAAACGGGTTTTTGGAGTTCAACGGCCAGCTACCACTATGGCTTCTCTGTACCTGTAAACAAGAGAGAAATCTTCACCTAGAGGTTACTGTACTTCCAAATCCCTTGCTACAAGCTTATTGGGATCCCCCCATCACTGTTTTATGAATAATTTTCTTCCAAAGGAAAGGTTGAAAACATTATCTGGAACTATATACACATATATGCAGATAAATTTTGTACTAATACAAAGCTCCTTTTGCTGAACAGAAGGCTTGACAGAATCACTGAACAGCTCAGGCTGGAAGAGACCTCATATGATCCAAATCCCCACACTGAAAGCAAGGCCAATTTCCAAGTTAGATCAGGATGTTCAGTGCCTTGGTTTATTTGAGTTCTCGAATGATGGAGATTTCACAGCCTCTCTGGACAGCCCATTTCAGTGCTTAATAAGTCTCACTATGAAATGTTTTTCTACATATGTCCGGTAAAAATTTCCCTTGCTGCTACATGTCACCACTGTACCTTATCAAACTGGCTTGTGTAACCTCCCAGTTGCAGTGAAGTTACGGCTTCTTCTCATATGCCATCTGCTTCAGTCCCCTGTATCACCTTCGTGGCCTTCTGCAGGACACATTCTTGTATGTTAAAGTCTTTTTTTGTACTGGGAAGCCCAAAGGTGGACACAGTTTGTTGGTGCTGAAACTGTGAGCTATGTTCTTGCTAATACAGACCAGTATGCAGTCAGCTTTCATCTCAAGGGGAACTCTTTATTTGTTCAACTTGTTGTCTACTATAAACCCCATGGTCCTTTATTGAAACCAGCTTTCTAGCCCACCAGTGCTCAGTCTGTACTGCTACATGGGGTTATTACAACCCAGGTACAGGTTTTAGCTTTGGTCTGTCCTAAACTTGATGAGGCTTCTGTAAGCCCTTTTCTTCAGTCTGTCAAGGGCTGTCTGAGTGGCAACCTGACCTTCCAGTATATGGACTACTCCTCTCAATTTCATATTGCCTGTGACCTTGCTAATGGTGGCATACATGCCAGTATCTAGATTATGAGAATGCAGATTAAGTTTAGGAAACATGCATTCTAAAACCATTTTCATAATGTAGTTTAATAAAACTAAGTTAAAATGTAGACTTCACAGAAAATGTGCTTCTCATTTAAAACTATCTTCTTACTAAACAAACAGGCTGACTTGCCCGTTACTTGACATGCATTCTTCAAAAGCTTAGACTGCAGTTTCTGAATTGTATTTTCATACATTTGCAGGGCGAGGGAAGCGGAACAGAGACTCAACTTTTTCTAGTTTCCCATTCTATTTCATCTTTCTCTTTTTAAGGAACCAGTTAATGACTCATACTAAACTTAGTATGATGAAACTATTCACAACCACTAGGAAAGAGGCTAAACAGTCACCTGCACATATAAATTTCCAGACAATTATACAGTGACATCTCGTGATTGGTCTTTAAAACTTTCCAAAAACAGAACTTAATTTGTACTTACTTAAAAAAAAAAATAAATTAGCCTAAATGTATCTCTTTTAGGTAACTACAGTTTTAAACACAGGTATTGAAATACAAAATCCTGTTTATAAATAGAATAGAATCTTTAATACTACCAGAGTAAAGGAAATTAAGAAAAGGTATCATCTCCATTAAGTTCATCCAAACCAGGAATACCAACACCTCTTCCTCTTCCTCTCTAAACTAGGCAGTTCTCCAGGAGGAAACTTACTTGGCACAGCAGGTGAGACTCACATGGCAAACTCAACTATTTGGCAAATATTCTCTTTATATGCAAAAATACCATATAATTAATAAGGACTTCATTTTGGCAGGCGTTATTTACATTGGCATTTTGGCTGCTACAGCAGCCGCTCCCACACAAATTTACACTAAGGTATGATTTAAATCAATGTGGTAAAGTATATACTACTACATACTATCACTACAAAGTGCACTGCATTATCCTTATCAGCCACACTGTACCTAGCAAATCCTGTGCGGTCTACATATATTTGTTGACACAGATTACCAAAGCAGAGAGTATCTAATGAACTACATAGATAAATATACAAACTACAGTTACTTGGACAAGTAAATGGGAAGAAAAGCCCCATAAAAGTAGGGTTGAACTAAGGAAGGGTGTGTTAAAGAGAATGAGTGCAATAATCAGAAAGAATGTGGATGAGAATTACTTTATGTACAAATGAGGAAATTTAACATTATAAGAACTTTCACACCTCAGAGCTGATATACTTTTAACATCCTACTCAAGTAAGCAAATATGTAACTACATGGTAAGAACGGTTAAACATTATAAACAAGCTGATGATAACCTAACTGTAAACCTACCATTTTCAGGAGAAAGTTTATCATAAGCATCTTCATAAATGTAATTTCTTCTGATAGTGACGTTAATTCCATCCAAAAATGGACCATCTCCTTGAACTTCTTGTTTATCAGCATAGATCAGTCTTTGAAAAATCTGTCAAAATGAGTGAAAAAGAAATCATGTCATTGTGCAGATCTAAATACTCAATGACAGATGGTTATTCACTACTCTTACTGTCCTCTGAGTTGCTTCTGGGCACTCACTTTCAAGTGATCTGTCTTTTCTCATTGAGCTGCAGAAACATAATACCGAGCCATGTCCCAGGGAAGGGAAAGAGAGGGGACAGACATGCAAAAAACTTTTTCATGCTAAGATATCATCCTCAGTTCTTCCTAAATAAAGAGGCACATCTATAGACATTGTCAGTGATTGCAGTTTCCTCTCCCTACCTTTTTCAGAGTTCTGAAATGCAAAGTATTCAAAAACAAAGGGAAAAAGTCACATGAGTATTCTGCACACACAGAGGTTATCTTCAATACTAGTAAATAATTTTTTGTTGTTTTCTTGTAACGCTTAGGAACATTACCAGTAACAAGAACTTAGGTATCAGTTCTCCTCTCTGGAGCTGAGAGCAAATAATTCAAAGCAAAATAGTGGATAGCACTGCCGTATTTAACAAAGAATCAGAGGATCATACCAATTGAAAAAAATAATGCCAGCTGAAGTACAAACTGAACTTCACATTGTCTCTTTGCAAATCTTCACAACAGGAATGTGTTACAATTCACCTGAAGAAGCACCTGTGTTTCTATGCCAAGATTTAGCATGGGAGGGGGCTGCCTAATGTATAACAATGTTCAATATACCCTCAATCCAGGGAGTGTCTGTTTATTACATCTTCTCCTGCATCTTTCCCATATTCAATAAATAGTCTAGTAAATTTTCCAAAGGATCACAGAATCGATGTGGTTGGAAGAGACCTCCGGGGTCATCAAGTCCAACCTTTGCCCTAACACCACCACGTCAATTAGACCATGGCATTAAGTGCCACGTCCAGTCTTTTCTTAACACCTCCAGGGATGGTGACTCCACCACCTCCCTGGGCAGCCCATTCCAATGCCTAACGATCCTTTCTGTGAAGAAATGTTTCCTCATTTTTAGCCTGAACTTCCCCTGGAGCAGCTTGAGACTATGCCCTCTTGTCCTGTCACTGGCTGCCTGGGAGAAGAGGCCAGCCATCACCTCGCTACACCCTCCTTTCAGGTAGTTGTAGAGAGCGATAAGGTCT